GGCCAGGGGACTGAGTGACCTCCCTTATGCTGCATTGCACAGAAGTCTCCTTCCCTCCCAGTCTTGCTGTCAGAGCACAGAGGGTGCTCCAGGGTTTTATAGTGCATCCCCAAACTAGGGGATGATTTCAGTTGAAGTCAGGACCTGTCATCACATGGTCCCTTAGATGGAACGCCTATCTTTCTTCCCTGGATCTTTTATTCATTGTTCACTTCTTACATGATCTCTGCTTTCTTACTTGCTCCTTCCTGGCTCCAGAGAAGTGACCATTGCTGAAGACAGCCACTGCTTCTGGTGCAGCTACTCCACATTTTACATCTGAGTTTTTGCATTTTCTGTGTGACACCCATGTCCCTCTCCCCTTTTTTCTAGGTTGAATGCAATTCCCGTCTTGACCCAACCAAAACTACGCTTCTGAAGGCAAGTGCCACTCCAGAATCATTCTGGCCAGCATAAAGACACTATTTTTGCTCAGATCCACTTATGTTTTTGCTTTCCATACATTTGGCTTTGAGAAGTTTTTGGACAGTCATTCAGAGCTGTGCTCTCTCCTCCATGGAGCCAGGGCTTGAGAGGGAAGAGTTTGTCAGGGAGTCCCCCAATCCCTGCTTTATGGCCACCTTCAACTGGCCAGGAAGACCCGTGAGAGTTAGCAGAGATGCCCTGCCTCCACCCTGCTCTCTGCAGCAACAACATCCTTTTTCCCAGCTTTGTACTGGTCCTTTCCACCCTCACCTGAGGCCCCGCAATGTGCCCGACAGTGGCTGTATGGCAGTGCAAAGGGACAGGTTTGGGCAGAGTGGCCAGGGCAGAGGTGGCTGGGAAGGTGCTGGGCCTCTGGAGTGTGGCCTGAGATCACTTGGTGACATGGCCTTCAAGGTGCAGGGTTCCCTCAGCAGCAGATCCCTGAAGGTGTATCACCTTGGCCTTGCTCTGGTTGTAGAGGTGAGGTGGTGGAAACTGCAGTGTGGTGCTCTCAGCCTGGTGGGTGGGTGGTGCTGGCTTGGTTTGGGGTTGTCCTCCTGGGCAGGACAGCTCAACCTGCCTTTTGTTTCCTGCTGCAGATGGCCGACTGCGGGGGCTTGCCTCAGGTGGTTCAGGTGAGACACACCTTGGCTCTCCCATGGCATTTGAGGGCAGAAGAGCCCTTTGTTCTGCTTGCACTAAAGCCACTCTCTCTGTTTCCACAGCCTGGCAAGCTGACTGAAGCCTTCAAGTACTTTGTGCAGGGAATGGGCTACAGTAAGTGGCAAAGACAATTTTGTGGTTTGGGGCAGGGTTGTCATGAAGGGAACTCAAGCTTTCTGGTCCGTCTGAACCCACTGGCATCTGTGTTCCTACCCCTGAGCTAGTGTGGTTGCCAGGAGATCCATCCATGCTAGAAAATCAGCTAGTGTGCTGACATGCCTTAGCAAGCCAGTATTGTTCCCTGACGTGTTGGTGACTCCTTTCTGGTTGCTGGTGTTGGTAAAACCTTTTAAGTCTGTCTTTGTGCCAATCCAGAAAAATGTGTTCCCAAGAACAGCAAATCTGCGCATACCTTCTCCAAAGGGGAAGGAGGTAGCAGTGCAGCCCCGTGACTAGTCCGGGTATGAGAGCTCCCCCATTTCTCCTCAGATGTTCCTGTTTCTCTCAGACTCACCAGGGTTAAGCAATGCTCCACAATAAATCCCTCTAATGGCAGAACAGGTTTCTGGGTGACTTCTGAGGCACCCAGGGAGCCCAGAGACAGCTGTGCTTTGCACCAGTGCATGTCCTGCCCTGTAGCTTCCTCACCATGCTTGGAGGCAGAAGATATTGTCACCTGAGTGACAATAGCTGCTCAGCTCCCTGCCCTTGGTGTTCCTGAGGAATCAGAGGAGAAGGGCTTCTTTACTTCTTTATCTCTAAGAAAGGCTTTACTACTCAGGAACATCAGGAGAAGGGCTTCTCAGCGCACTAGAGCAGCTCTTTCTCGCCTACTGGGGTCAGGAGTTCCCTTTTGTGGATGACAAGCCTTCAAAAGCTGGAGTTAGGGAAGGAGTTGGTTTATGTGACTGGCTGACCACTGAGCATGGCCACCATAAGAGCTGGGACACTTGCAGGGGTCTCCTCACAGCTTTGCCAGATCATGGTCAGGCTTAGCAGAACCTGTCCTTTTCCTGAAGGCTCTGCAGGTAACACACACATGTAGGACAGTCATGTTCTCTAATGTTGGCCAAAGGAACCTGATCCTGCAGAGGAAGATGCTGTGTGAGGAGGGTCCCTCAGCCTCACTGAGAGTGTTTCAATGTTCATGTCTGTTGTATTCCTGGAGTTAGTAAAGATAGCAACTGCTGTTTTCAGAGCAAGGGGGAGCAGCACTTCAGCAGCACTTTGGTGGGATCAGCTCTCTTGTCAGTAGGACATGCAGCACTGGAGAAGGACAGGCCAATTTTCTCCTTGCAGAATTAGTAGCTGGTCCCAGAATATTTTTCCCAGCTTTCATGGGCAAGACTGTGGGACACTCTGGAGTTTGGTCAGTTCTCTTGGGGAGAACAAGGTAAAAGCAAAACACAGCTCGGCACTGCTAGAAATAGAGAAACCAGTTCTCCAACAGCTGTTCCTGTGCCTTCTGTACATGAGCTGAAGCAGCTGGATGTACTTCTGCTGACTCTGCAGGTGGAAGGTAACAGTCTTGAAGGAGACTTGCAGCAGGAATCTCTCATCCCAAAGACATGAATTTCTGTCCCATATCTGGAGTTACACAGTATACCCCGGGGAAACCATATTTCTGTTGAGCAGGTGTGGGGTGTGCAGTGGGGAGTTGCTGTCACCAGGTACAGTGTGATTTTCAGCTTTAGGGTTTTTATGTGAGCTTGGCATCTCCCTGAGATGCTTATTAGCAGCTGTTCTTACAAATCCTGGGAGCTTTCAGTGCAGTGTACAAGCTGGGAATGGAAGGAAAGGTAGCTGGGGGTCCCAGGAGTAGTGCAGCCACTAGTCACACACCACAACTAATGGGTTCTTTCCTGTATTCATCCCTTTCCTTGTCTCATGTTGCTTCCAGTCCCTTATGTGCAGCTCAGCCACCTAAGCACTGAGTCAGGTACCTCCAGCCGTGCATCCACCTCGGCCCTGGTCTGTGTGCTGAGTGGAATTGTTCTCCGGGTGCTTTGCTCTGTCTCAGCATGTCCTGCTGTGGGTGGGCTGATCATTGTACCATGTGTGCTATGGGTTTCCACCTTTCATTTGTATTTTGTTGATTGTTGCATGACTTCAGCTCTGTGGTTTTCTAGAGTGATGAGACTAACTTTCAAAAGGTCATCCATGCCACAGCTGCCTTGGTTTGCACAGACACTGGCCGTGGCTGCACTTGCAGAGGATCAGTTACACTGCTGGCATTTTCTCACCTTGGACCTTTTGAAATTGGGCCTTAAACATCTTGCTTTAGACATGCAGAGACTTAATTTTGGCAGTGAAGAGTGAGTTTACTTCTGAAGGGTACAGCTCTTTCTGTGCTTACCCAGTGACACATACCTGAGTGACTGTGTCTTGGCTCCAGGAGCTGCCTCCTTGTCTGAGTCCCACGTTTGTTCTCTCTTGCAGTGCCAGCAGCCAGCATGACCCGGTTGATGCGTTCCCGTAGCCACTCCTCCTCCAGTGTGGGCTCTGGTGAGAGCAGCCGCAGCCGGTCTCATGCCAGCACCCATGGGGAAGGGAGTGCTGGAACCCCAGAAGGAATCGACCTCCAGGCTGCACCTCAAACCATGGAAGTATCCTGTTAGGCAGGAGCCCCTCTTCTGGATTCAGACAGCTCCACTCACCCCACTGAACCCACTCAGAATTTAGCATTTCATCCAACATGGCATTAACTGTTCTCTCTAACCTGTGCATGCCCATCCAAGCAGCCACCTCCTTGGTAGTCTGTATGTGACATTACTTTGATCTTTTCTGTATCCCCTTGGCATCAGAGTCTCTTTAAAACTCATTGACATTCCACAGTCTTAGTAAATCCCATTACTGTACATGCTGATGCCATCTCCTGTCTGTGCTGTGTATCAATCCAGATGACAGCCGTTGTCTCCCCTCTTCATTTAAATATAATTTCTGTGGCTTTGTGAGGTTTAGAATTGCTTTCTAGTTGTGCTTCTGCTAAAGGGCCCTTGTGATGCAGTTGGTATGTCATTGGTGGGACGTGAGAAGGTAAGACCATGAGGATGTGGCACTCCAGGCACTGGAGCAGGCAATGCCGTGTGGAGCTGTACCTGGGACACAGAACCCATTGGAAGATCTGTCTGTCCCCACGGCTGTTTCACATGCCATGCTGCCTGAGACTAACAAATGGTCAGGAATACTGTTTTGGTCTTACCTGTGTATGTGTGTTAAGAAGGAGCAGAGTGATTTCTTACCTGAGCCTCCTGAAAAAACAAAGCAATTAACTAGTAAATTACACTAACAAGGTGCACTATTAACCCAGTACAAGGGATTAAACTCAGCAGCCCTGGCTCTAGACCACTTCTGCAACCCTCTGCAGACCCAGCAAAAGGGCAGGATGCAGTGACACATGGTTGCTGTTCTCCCCTGGCACGGGTGAATATTTAATATTGAGCAGGTTGTGAAATGGGAAGCAGTGCCTCTTGCCAGGTGGAGATCCCAGAATCTCCCGCACTGCCATCTCTGTGTCCCACTGCCCCTGGCAGGATCTGCACAGGGTGCAGTTATATGGGGGCAGGAAACACCAAGTGAGTATGGCAGCCAGAAGTCACACATTCCTGTGAGTCGTGTCAGAAGGGCGAGCAGTGAACACCACTGTGCAGATAGCAGTTATTGTCTTTGTGGAATTCACAGCTGTGCTACCTTTTTACACCTGGCTGGGTCACCAAGGATGCCTGCTACCAAGGATGCCTGCTGCCAAGGTCTGGTGTTAATGGGAAAAAAGGGATGAGTGGTCAGGCTGCTGCAAGTCTCAATTGATAAGCAAAACCTTTCCTCACTGCTGAGCAGCCCTGACCCAATGGGAGCCAACTCCTCCCAGGGTCATGCTCATGTTCTGCTCCATTTCAGGTAGGGAATGGGACTGTGAGGCTCTGCCTGAGGGGGACTTTGTACCGGTTATTGAATAAAGCTATAACTGAGTTTCATTGTTACACTATGTACTCTTGGTGTTTCTCTTGGCACGAGCTGCACCCCTGGGGGTTTGGCAGCTTGAGTGTCTCCTGCTGTGTACAGCAAACTCATCCCCAGGGCAGGGGGAGGACTGGGTACCTCTGCACCAGAATAATGTGGTTGGCAGCCCTGTGGCCCCTGGCAGAAGGCTGTCCAAGGGCATTGGAGAGCTGGCCTCGCCAAAATGCAACTAGTAACATCCAGAATGGAAACAACAACAAGTTTGCAGCAGCACAGGCTACAGGGCTGCTTCCAGCTGTTGCTGCTCCCCAGTCTGTGCTGAGCCCCTGCCGTGGGGCCTCAAAAGAGCAAACCACGATCAGGTTCCTGCAGCTTTGGGTTACTCATAGGAGTGACAAGACTCAGCCCACAAAAAGAAACAGAGCCCCATCACACCCTGTGAGGAGATTCTGCCAGGTGCCACTGTGCAGTGGCCGGTGGCACCAATGCCACCTGATGTCCCAGCCATTCCCTATTGCCTACAGTGTTCTGAAGGTGCTCATGGCATGGGGCTGGCACAGGGGTGCTTGCAGCCACAAGGCCCATGGGGAGAAAGGTGATGGCTGCCACTTCTGTAGGATGGTTGAATCCCTGTAGTGTGTGAGAGTTAAAGAGTGCATCAGGCAGCGGGGGCTGAGCAGGACAGGGTCCTGGGACAGCCCAGCCAAGTGCCCTTTGCCCTGTGCCTGCCAGGCTGCTATTCCCGTCGGTGCCGTGTGGCAAGTGCTCTGCCTGGGCCATAGTGACTCGCTATCACATCCACCAGCTGGATAATGGGTGGCTCTACATCTCATCCTGGCTCACCTTCCCCAGCCTGCACAACTTGGTGGACCACTACTCTGGTAATGCCCCACCACCCCCCCCAGCACCCTGAGCAGTGTGTGGGGAGATGCCCCCATGCCCTGAAAGGAGGGAGGGGGAAAAAGTGGCAGCTGGTCCCTCCCCTGCGCAGGTGTGCCCAGCCTGGGGGGCAGGGCTGTACCCTGTTGATGCTGTTGGCTCCCTGCCCAGAGTTTAGCTAGGGGCTCTGCTGCCCTGTCTGCGAGCCCTGCCCCATAGAAGGGCCAAGAGCGGCCCCAGCCCTCACAGCACTCAATGTCCTCAGGAAGCCATCACTCCACTGGAACAAGATTAAGAGGTGAGGGTAGCTGGGACAGGGGCCGGGCCTCCCCGCACCTGACCCTCAAGGGGCTGTGGGCTGCCTGCGGACTGCCGTTTCTATTCTCAAGCAGCTCCCTCCTGTTCTTGGAGACCACATCCCCACCAGAGGAGTCTCCCATCAGCCACGGCCTGAGGGAAGCCATCAGCTCTTACCTGATTCTCTCAGAGACTGACACCCCCAAGCCAGACCCCACAGGAAAGATGGTTGTTATAGATGAGTAATGTAATAGTTAGGTCTCACAGTTAAGAGACAGATACTATGTGAATGTATAGTGATGTTACTATAATATGTCCTCCCATAGGACATATTTTCCCCTCTTTCCCCTCCCCCTTGTAATAGCCTCGGTAGCGAGGGCATTTGGGAGGGCTTGTTACCAAGCAGCGCAACATGACAACACCTGGCCTCCAGTCAAGATGTAAGAAAGTAATCTTCACCAATGGACAGCAGAGATGGACTTGACTGACAAAACTTTGGGAGGAGCTAAGGATATAAAAGGCAGAGCATTCATTTTGTAGATGAGCTAGTTATGGAGACTCCCAACACTGAAATCTTTCCTGATGCAGTACTTTGTTGTAATTTTTGTTAAGGTTTAATAAACCTTTTGAAATTTTTAAAGTGAGGATCATTTCTCACATAGTGAAGGAGAGCTGAGGACAGGGTCCCCACTTGGCCACAGCTCTGTGGTGGACACCCATGCACCAGCTCAGCCTTCTCCTACTTTCAGCGAGTCTCTTGTTCGTGCTGGGGCCCATTGACCAGAATGTGGGACAGCCAAGACCAATGCAGAGCCAGGCAGGCAGCGATGCTGAAGGAGGCAGCTGCCTGAGGGCCTGTCTTTCCTTCACAGGACACTTTGGGACAGGATGCATGAGCACCAACAGGATGCATGAACCTCAACCAGCACCCAAGGGAGAAGGAGGCAGAGGCTGCACAGAGAAGGAGCCTTGCGTGCCCTACAGGCTGCAATGGGGCCCCTGGCATCTGTATTCCCACACCAGCAGAGAGAGGATAGAAATGTTCAATAAACCAAATCCTGGCCCAGGTGGAGGAACAGCCCGCGCCTATCGGACCTTCCAAGTTTAAGCACAACTGTTTTAGGGGCATGGGTGTCTGTGCAGGCCTGTAGGCAGCAGCTGTGGACCATCAGAGTGCTTTCACCCCCATAACTCACCACTCTGCTTGGTGGGACCAGCAGCCAGGGGGAAACCAGCCCCTGACTGTGCCCTATTTTTTTAGACCTTTTAACACATAGATTGTAAATTCCATAAAACAGGATCCTGCTGGACATGCAGCAATAACCATCTGTTATAAATTAAAAGGCACCTTTAAAGTTCACAGCTGAGGTGAACTTTATTGGGACTTGCCCATGGGGCCAATTTCACTGCCACAGCCTGAGGCGATTTGCTCCTCCCATAGCCCTTGGCCCCAGCTGGAGTGAGCAGGCAGCCACGGGCGGTGCTGGTCCTCAGACAACTCTCTTCAGGCAAATTCATGAGCCCAATAGGTTTAAATGTGTAATTTAACATGAACAACTGCTGTTCTAGGAACAATGGGGAAAGAAATGGGTGCGTGCCAGGAATAGATTATTCAAAGAAGTAGAATGCAAATACTCAGGTAGAGCCCCGATCCCAGCTACACTGCAGGGCTGAGGGGCCTGAACGCAGCAGAAAGGCCTCAGAGCAGCCACACTTACGAGCCTCTGCTTTCAACAGGCTCTTATTAGCAAAGCTGGAGCTTCCTCTGTGGCTAGAGGTGATGCAAAAGTAATTTTGCTGCTTGGCACAGTCCCTCTCTTCCTTCCCTCTCTGCACCTTTAGGCCGGTGCAGCAAGACCTGCCCCTTAACCCAAAAGCTGCAGGTGTCCTGCGTGGACATCCCTTCCTCATTTTCCTGTCTGATGAGCTCAATCTTGAAACCTACCATAATTTTCTTGTTTTCTTCTCCACCCAGAGCTTTACAGACCTGCTCAGCCCCAGCCTCCAGCCCAGGTGGCCTCAGCACAGAACAGGCTGGGGTTTGTCTTGGTCCTGCTGTTGTCACGCTTGGGGATCCAAGGTAACTCAGAGGAGTTTCGCATGGTTTATATTTGCTATTGACCCATGTTGTGTGAACCAACGTGGCTCTTGGGTTCCTCCCTCCATCACCAATCTGCACCCAGGTTGTTGGATGCATTTACACAAAAGACCACAGTCAAGAGCCTGGTGCTCTGCCATTTGTAACCTGGAGCCAGGTAAAATGGGACAGATGTGGTTGTAAAGGCTTTTCAAATCCTTCTCCATTGCTAGCAGCCTCTGAGCCCTCCAACTTTCCTATCCTGAAAATCTCCTTGCCCTGGGCACGTGCCACTCATGCTGGGAAATGTCTTTCCAGGGCACTGCAAGGCCCATTCCCTGCCTGTTAGGGCTGAATGCTGCAGCCTCTGAACACCACGGGCATGAAGCAGATTTTAACAGACAGCTGAAGCACAGAGTGGGTCCAACAGCTCCCAAGAGCAGCAGTGCTCCGCCAGCAAGAGGAGAGCAGAGCAAGAATGCTGACCATGGGGCTACCCTCCCAGGCAGTGCAGGACAGGGACACTGAAGGCTCTGAAGTGACAGAACAAGCTCCAGCAAGACCACAAGTGCTAGGGCAGGGGAGGACCCACCAGTTATCCCAGCCACTCCAGCGTGGGCAGCTGTGAAGACACAGCAGGTCTTCCCCAGTGGTGTTCCAAGTGCCCAGGATCCTCACAGGGTTCAGGCTACCTTGCAATTGTGACTCGTGGCCACTTAAGCCAGATCAGCCACACTGTGGGCAGCACAGACCTCCCCAAGAGCCGTGTCACCACTCCCTCTGGAGTGACAAGTGTTAAAAACTTGTCCCAGGAGATGGGAGTAACCCAGATTCTTGTTAATAGATCCCTTGGGGTGGATTAGAGTGAAACAATACTGAAATGCTCAATGTGTATAAATACACGTACACAGGGTTTATTTTTGAACAATTTGGCTGCAAAGGAAAGCAAGTATGTAGCTGTTTTGATTATTATCTATAGTAATATAACAATATGAAAGCATTGCAAAGTTGTCATTCTAACTGCAGGAATAGAAGAAACTCTCGAGTACCATCTTTCAAGTGTTAGAGAATCAGGCACTACTTTATTCCAGACAGGATGTGCAGTAGAAATCATTCCAGCTCACCTAGTTCTTTGCTAGACTTTTCACATATTTATACATTTAAAACCCAAATAAATTCTCATTCATTGGGTTCTACATTATACAAATCTCAGCACTTGATCTCCTATTGGATCTCTTCACCTTTGATGCTAATTTAGTCCTCATTCTTTTGTTCTCTAATCAATCTTTTTCCAGATCAGATGACTCCAGCCTAACGAGGGCATATTTGTTAATGTCTGTTTATCTTCTCTGTATCTTCTTGCTACTCCCAACCTGTAGATGTTGATTTTTGTTGATGTGAAGCCTGTCAGGCCTCACTGAGTGAAATTCAAACCCTCAGTGAGTAGAGTCTTTTGGAGAGAAACTTCAATTCCACACCACCCCAACCCCTCCCTTCCCCTTTGGCAAAGGCAAACAAACACATGACTGAAGTTACTTCGAAAATTGTAAAAGTTACATCATTTCCAACAACATAAAACTACAAAAATATCACCCAAGGATATGTATAAAGGGAAAGAGAAAAAGAAAGGGAGGGAGGGAGGGAGGGAGGAAAAGGTGAAAATCTCACCACCCAGTCGGCCTTTGATGAGTCTTGATAGTTGGAGCTTAGCATCTTTCCCTGCAGCAGCATTTGCTGGGATCAAAGGGATTTCGAGGAGCTGCAAAGTAGGCAAAGTGTCTTCATCAGCTCAGAGCCTCTGTGCAAAGGACATGGCTGTGCCTAGAGCCTGGCCTCAGAGCAGCATCCACCCAACCCTCAACCCAAGGGCACAGAAACCACCTGTTGAGGAGCTGGTCCTTCCCTGATGTCCTTTGTCATGTCTGTATCAAGCTCCATGACTTACTCACCAAGTCACCAGTCTGGAAGCCCTGAAGGTACTCACAGCATCCACTGCCAAGCCCATGCAGCCCCTCAGAATTGGATATGGAGCACTGCAACACTCCGTGGCCCCTTCAGCTTCTCCTTTCAAACACCCCAACAGCACACAAGCACCACCAGCAGGAAAACTCCGCAGCAGGACAGGATGACTCCCAGTTTTGCTGGTTTGTTCTCAGTGTTTTCTGTCTGCTTCTATGTTGTAAAAGGAAAAAAAAAAAGTGGTATTTACTGTTGAACTGTTTCAACAGGACGTTGTTTGGGGTTACTCACAGCAGGTATTACCCAGACGAGACAGCTAAAAAACGGTATACAGTTTTTTACCTTCACAAGAACTGCTGTGCAACCAGAAGGGTTAGCACAAAGCTGTGAAACAGTACTGAACAACTGCAATGGCCTGAAGTGCACCAGAACCCCACTGGGAAATCAGCGCAAGGACCACCCACAAGCACTCCCACAGGTGGACGGAACAGCAGGCAGCAACAGCAAGGATGGTGCACTGGCCATCATAATGGGCATGAACATGACCCATGGGCTGGACAATGGTCAACAGATGATGTTTTGGTCAAATAACAGCGAGAATATGGCAACTCTACCCACATGAAGTCCCACTGCTGACTGAGAGCTGCCTCCTTCTCTGAGTTTGCATCTACAGAAACCTTCCTATCACACAGGTAAATAAATCAGAGGGCACATCAAAACATGACAAGCTACAGCACACATCCCATTGAATTATTTCAAATCCAGACCACAACTTCAAACCCGATTTTGACATTTAAATGATCATCAAAGACCTGCATCATGACACAGTGCAGTGAGACACAGTGAGATCTGCTGTCAGTGGCTTAGGTCTCTCCAGGCTTCACACACCAGGCTCCAGCAGTGATGCACCCTCCAGCCTTAAAATCCAGTTTCACAAGAATCCTTTAATTTTTTTTTTTTTTTTTTGAGAATGAAGTTAGAAAGCAAAATTTGGTATGACAAGGGAATACATCTGCTTTGCTCCCACTGGGGAAACTGAGAGGGAAGAGATGGAAGCTGAAGGTACATCAATGCCTGCCCCCTGCCTTCAGGCACCCTGGGCTTCTCCAGCCCTCCCCAGTTTCCTTCCTCCTCTTCCCATGCATTTTCTCTATATGGATTGTTCAACTGCATCCAGAGCTCCTTGCTTCATACCATCGCTAATGCTGTGTTTCCTCTGAGCTGCTGCGGCTGCCCCTGACAGGCTGCTCTTCCAAACAGAACAAAACTTAGGGTCAGATCACACATACTAGGTACAAATATATTATATATATTGGTACTAATATACTACATATATTAGGATTTGGGAACAAAATGTATGAGCTCCTCATTAAACAATATCCAATACACTATTAAGGATATTTATATAACATAGTTCTGGAAAATAGTAATCTCCAGACTTTAGCAACAGTAAAGAGATATATATACCTGACAAACTACAGTACTTGCATTTCAAAGCAATGCGAAGGAAAAAATTCCAAAATTATTTGAGTTATCATTAATTGAAACAAAGACTTTACTAAGAATTTAAACAACAAAAACCTATTTTTTATTTATTTCAAACACCAAGATACAGAAGTCTTCAAGTTTTGCAAATATTGCTCCAAAACAAAATTCTATGTACAGCCCCTTGGTTCTAATAGTGCATCAACAAACACGTGTGTACCCACAGTGCAATGTTTGCTCAGTTCACCAAGGCTCCACGTTGCATTCACTTACCAGTGATTTAAAGAAACCAAAAAGTGACCTGTCAGTCTGAACAGCTGGTCCAGACTAAAAATAACAATGAGGAAACTTGCAAAAAAAGGGACAGAAATAAATCCAGGCAGAGCACAATGAAGAATCTTCCCTGAATACGAGAAATACTACTCTATTTTAAATAAATATTTTCAGTCTTTATCTGCAAGGGCTTCCCCAGCACTACTGAAGTCTCCAGGGTCTGCAACTTGATCT